TAATTAGAAATTCATTGTAAAAAAACATACCAGATAGGTTTGTTTTTAAAAAGATCAATTGAAAAACTTACAAAAAACAGATTAGGAAAAACTGGGATACATGACTCAATGCATCTTTATCTCCTCTTTCCAATGGTAAAAACCGAAGTACTCTATCTTGTTTTTATCAAAAGTTATTCAAAAAATATTCACTTGTATTTTTTAAAATGAGTATTAATACAACCAGCACATATGATAACGAAACACATCTTATCGAAATTTTAGTATTATGATATTAGTTGAAGCATCGTTAAATCGCATAGAAAGATAGAGCTTTTTTTTCTCTATCAGACTATACAGAAAGAAAGTTTCTTTAAGTGTACTATCTGGTGCTAAAGTGTCACTCTCACTACTTTTGGTATGCCCTATGTAATTTATAAATTCCTAACGGTGAAATGAAGAAAAAGTGTCTTATTTTCAATCAAATTCTATCTGTATGTGCATGTGCCACTTTTTTAGCACAGTGAGAACAAATCGACTTAATTCTATTATTTGAGGATGATTCAAATCCAGAAAAAAGTGGTGGGTGTGGGGGAAGAAAAGAGTGAGGCCTACACTCATACCCTTCACAAAACGTCTCACCATAACCAGTCTTTTTCCGACGGAATTTTCAATTATTCTTCAACATGTTATTTACATATTTAAACCAAATAAAATATATAGTTTTCTTATTAGATACAGGCTTAATTGTGTGATCAAGCGATATACAGAATAAGTATCAATAGTTTTCTTCGTAAAAAAAATCAAAATGACATGTATTTGATAGTATGAATTTATTTTTATGGTACCTGTGTTCCATTCGGCAAAATTGCACCAGCAATGCTTGTCGCTTGAGCTAATTGTGCATCCGTTATGCCATGACATCCAGTCAAATTGGTTTTGACAAAGTAAGACAAGTAGATGTTGGCATCAGTCATTTTGCAACCAGCAAGATTGGCACCAGTAAAATTGCACATCTCTAATGTTGCACCCATCAAGTCAACATTTATCATAAATAAATACGTAAAATTCGACACAGATATCGATGCTCCACTTAAATTAGTTTCAGCAAAATGAACTTCATCAAATGATGAATTTTGAATGGTGGCATTAACCAATGTAGAATTTTGAAAAGAGGCTGATGCAAATTTATGAAGATCTCGATGAAACCTACATTTAATAATACGTATACGAGACATGTTTGCTCCTATGAAAAGGGTTCCATGTAAAGAAAGACGTTCGAATGTTGCATCGACCAGTGATGTCTCTGTGAAATTAATATTTTCGTATGCATCATACACTATATCTTCATTGCTATGCTCTCGATAGAAATGAATATTGTTTAAATGAGCATGACTCATCGTGGCATCTCGAAATACACAATTCGCACAGATCATGCCATACATCTGAACACTTTCGAAATTAACCGATCCAAAGAAAATGTCACGTGCACATGTTTTGCAAAATTTTGCATGAACTAATAATGAATTTGCAAATGTCAGTTTAACTTTACTTCCATCAAGGAATGCACATCTGAAATCAACATCATCCATAATAGCTTTATCGAACATCGAACCTTGGAAATCCGTTTTTCGAAAGAATGCATTAGTAAGTTGAGTACGTGATAGTACAATAGCATCATTGGTGTTCGCACGCACATTACATTCATGAGGGCACCTATCGTTATCAACTTCGTTGATACCTAGAGACAAACCAGATAAGTTGGCTGAAGCTAAATCAATAGCACTCAACATAGAATCGAACGATTCATTATTGGTTTTTACATCATTTCTTTGAATAGTTCGAAGTGTAATCAGTCGAGCTTCATAGAAGGAACGAATGAGAAAAGAACGTCATGCAGAATGAAGTTGACCAAGTGCTGTTAATGTTTTGAAGCGAGCGACAAAACGTGCTATCAACGTTTCATTCAATACCATGCCATATTTTTCGAGTAGATTAGCAAGAAAATTTTGATAGTCAACAAGAATATTTTCTTTTTTTTTATCATCCGCAAGCCATTCATCGTTTGCTCGATTACGATCTGCAATCTCAATATCTTTCAGACGATTTTCAGCAGCAATGATTAAATCATTTCTGTGTTGTTCATTCTGCTGTTGATTTTGCATGATGGTAAAAATACCGATAGTTATAGGAACACAGACCGTGGCAATAAGTTGTATCCATTCAAACCACGAATGCGAATTACTTGTATTTTGTGTCATCAGTATGCTAATTGATGTTTTCAATCGAGTTTATTATTTTGTTGACACATTTTTTTAAGCTTAAATGTTACTTTTAATGAGACTACAATATTAGAATCGCTTTATTAACAATCTGATCGCCTATTTTAAAATACGATACATGAAGAAAAATTGAACTCAAAGTTTTTTAATAACTTTGATCAAGTATTTCAGAGAGGATATTATTAGTAGTTATTTTTGCTATCTTATGCTAACAAAAACTAGAAAAAATAGTCTTCAAATTACAACTATGTCGAAAAAAATATTTTTCTATCGTTCTGTTAAAACAATATAATTACAAACGAAAAGAAAAAAAAATTTACTGTCTATGAGACAAACATACGAGAAAAAGGTGGTGATTTACTTTTCTCTCTGTATTCTGTAGCAATGTTTTTTTTTCAGGAGATTAAAACTAGAGTGGCCTAACAGCGAAATGATCAACTATTCATATCTCAGTTCAATTCATCGATTAAAACTGCTTACGATCATTTACTTATAACAGGATTAGAAAAGAAAAATTATGTGACGACTTACTTGCGTTCTTTAGTGAATAATTTATCAATAGGATTTCTCTGATATTTAACACCATGTTTGTGTAGAGCGAGAAAAAGTCTTCATTGCATGACACGTCTATGCTACTGTTCAAACATCCGGATCTAGCTATGACGCACAAATTATCATGTCGTTTTTTTTCATATATTCATAGATTAGTAATAACACTGAAACAAATATTTGAATATGAATCTAACTTATTCATTCGACTTACTCTCAAAAGAGATACGACACTCTATTAACGAACAAAACTTCATAAACTATTTAAAATAGAATTACTTTTTTAACACTAGTAGCATAAACAAGCTTCAAAGGATTTTGATTCTTATCGTTTTTTGTCTGTTTCTTCTAGAAGAGAATCACCAAATAGATTCACAATAGTGTTTCCTGTACGATTCCGACCGTTTTGTGTTAAGAAAAGTCGAAAGAATATTTAAAATTTTAATATTCCCTGAAAATACATGTTTAGGTCACTTTGTCAGTGACATGTGAGTGTTCATCCAGTATAAGTCCACATCCATACCGAAACAGACAGTTTCGTTTCACTCTCCTTTCATGATTTTGTTTTTCTGTTATCTGGCGAGCAATTTATGAGAGAAAACATAATAGAGCACACTTTACGTTTCTTTTTCTTATAAAGGCGGACGATCCCTCGAGACACACGCGGTTTCAAATAAAAAAAGATACGAGGTTGTAGAGCTCGCTGATCAGAGGTCATACTCTTTTTGAAAGAGCTGAATCTCAACAAAATTATTGTTTTAAATGATCGAGTTTTATATCCATCTAATGTATTGTATTCGGCAGTATATTCTCTCATGTTGGATAGAACACAATTAGCTGAGCAGGTCTTTCTTGTCATTGGTAAGTGTGACGAAAATGCATTTAATCTTGGTAGTTATTGCTGACAGTTCTTAGGTTTTGAACACTTCTTTGTTGTGTACCAACTTCATTAGTTTTGTGTATGTTATACTATTCCAAATAAAGCGTGTAAAATACAAATAAACAAGACTGAATCTATAAAATCAAATAGTATTTGTCATACAATCATCAAAATACTTTCGGACGAAATGTTTTATTTTTCTTAAAATTTAATGATCTATTGATATGTATATAGAAAAGATCTGCTCATGCTAATTTGATTCCATCCAACATAAGAAGATGCACTGCTTAGTGTAATACATCAGGTCGATAAAATTCGATCATTTATAACAATGATTTTGTTGAGAGTCAGCTTTTTCAGATACAAAATTGACCTAGCTCTTTAATAGCTAGGTATTGAGACGAATGCTTTACACAATGTACTATGCTCTTTGAGCTCTATAATATGGTATATTTTTTACTTGAAACTGCACGTGGCACCGAAGGTCGTCCCTTCGTAAGATATATCTTGTTCATATTTGTAGAAATATCTACACCGAAATATAATATAGAAAGAGATAAGCTCTCACTAACCTGTAGTTTTCTTTTCATTGAGCTATTTTGAAGTTTCATTTAACAGTTTCTTCGAACTGATGATTTAAGGGCAAGATATATGAATTTAATTACCAACTAGTCGAGATTTTTTAGTTGTTCACATTTTCGCTATATACGTATGTCTCTGAGTTATGTAAATAAGACTTCAAGTTTTTTCAATATATTCGGAATAAGATTGAGAATCAGGTTTGACGTTGTGGATGTGGGTATGATGTGTGGTTGGGTAAAAAGAAGATTCACAAACACGCCCACAATCACACTTTTTACCTGACAATTTGACATAGCGGATGGATATATGACTTACTTGAAGAACACATGTGCAGGACTTTTGCATTGATTTAAAAAAAAAAATTTGTTAGAAAATATGTTATGTGGTTCATCATTCAATGTAACTTTACATGTTGATTGCATATGAATGGTAATTACCTATCTTCTTATCAACACTCACACACTTCTACACACAAACCGTCACACTGACTATGAAACATGCCTCACAACTTGGTTTTTTTCGTCTAAGTCACATGATATTCAACGGTTTGCGGATATGTTCTGTATGAAATCAAAGAAATTGCGCATAACTTCTACTTATTAAACATACTAAGATATTGTCCGTTTCAAATGGAAGAAATTTTAACTTTCAAAATGTTATCAAATGAAATGATATTACTCGTATGTGAGTATCTTCGTTATACTGAAATTTTCTATTGATTCTCTAATTTCAATATTCGTCTTAATTCGATAATAACCGATTCCTATCATTATGTAAATCTCGAGAATGTCACATATAAAAAGAGAAAATATCATGTCTCACAAAGTAGATTTGACATACTTTTATTGGAAATTATCATTGTCACTTTTGAATTTCATCGATAGACAATTAAATTTTTTTTGTTGACAACATCACAAATATTTTGTAACTTCTCAAGCTTGATATTAGAAATCTTCGACATGAAGATGAAGAAGGATCGCCGGAAAAAATTCTAGCAGTTAACAATAATCGATTGAAATCTATATTATTCCATTAGGATTCATTCAATTTTATTTTAACTACAACTAATAGTGTCGAAGTTGTTTCTTATTCGAATATCGAAGAGTTGCCGGTAAACTTAACTATAGATAAAATGTTAGAATATCTATTTACACTTATACCATATATTAATTGTCTACATATTGACTTTCGCCGATTATCATCGACTTCAAAATCAACATTAGCTAATGCGTCACAAGTTATTCATTGAAAAGATTCTCAGTCACGCTCGATAAATATGTATTACTTCTTTGATTCGTATATCGCAGTAGCTACTTTGTTGTCTACATGATCAACTCATATCCGAATAACATGTTTGATAGATGAATTGAATGCATATGCAATACTTCAGATAGTTCTTTGTGACTTATCTTCAAAAATCATTCCGACAACAATATCTAATTCCATGCTGTTATTGTGCAACACTTTCGTCGACTTCGATCGCTTATTATTCGCTCAAATAATAATTTAAAAACATGTATGTTACTCTACACAAGATATTTTTCATTGAAAACTTAGATTTTTTGAAAGTTCCATTCACTGTGAGAAATTTATACACAGACAAAATAGAATGAATTCACTGATAACTTAATATACATTAACAAAACAAGGCCCATTTACATTTATTAGAAACAAGAGCAGATCAGTTCGTCAGATGAGTATTCATCAGCAATGATTCTGTTCAACATTTTCAATACACCTTCATCGTAATTCAAAATATCTTTCTCAAAAACAGTTATACAATTCTCATGCATTCATATTCTATCTCGCGAAAGTTTCATAAGCTTTGCACTATG